ATCTTGTATCCTAGACCTCTGTCCATTTCTTTTATATATATATATACTTTTTTTTTTTTTTTTTTAGGTACCAGGAATTGAACTCAAGACCTTGCACTTGCCAGGCAGGTGCTGTGCCACTGAGCTTTATCTCTAGCCCGACATCTTTCATTTCTGTACATGTAGGACACATCTGTTTTCACTGATACTTAATATAATGTATACCACATTCCATTTTTTTTTTTTTTTTGATGAGTTATTTTGGTTTTTCCAGTTTTATACGATAACTAGCAAAGGTACAAATGACATCATTATACAAGCTACCTTGTGAACTCACATGTGTTTTTTAGGGTATAAATTAAAAATTGGAATTGTTGGGTCACAACAATTTTGATGGGTATTACCCAATTGCTTTTAAAAGTGGCAGTGCCAACTTGTGCACTCACCAACAATGTGAGATTAGTGGTTTCCCACATACTTGCCTGCTTGTGCTGTCTATATATAGATGGGTATATATCTATCTTAATTTTTTTTACTAATTTGCCTGTTGGATCTGCATTTCTTGGGTTTTCACGTTTTCCTTATTTTGCAGAAGTTCAGCGTCTCTTATTTGTAAAACTTTTGCTTATGAAAGCATTTTCATAGTTTTCAATTTCTAACAGGAGTATGTGACCCTAAAGTAGATGATTCCCTGCTAATTTAGCTGGAGTTAATTTTTGTAAGAGAGCTAAACTTGTTTTTTCCTAAATGTTATGTTCTCTCAATACTATTTGTTGACTAATTCTTTCCCTGCTGATTTGAAATATCACACTTATCATTACTCAGTATTTATTTCTTATTTCTATGAGACATTTATTTTTGGCATCAGGCACCTGAGTGATTCTTAACTCAGTTCATTGAATGGTAGCTGCTTTTATCAGTCAAGATGAATGTGTTATGATACAATAGAACTTACCACACACAAACCCTACTTTAGATTCAAATCAGTTCCATTATCTACAAATTTAAGAGCAAGAAAAAAATGTGTAAACTTTTCTCTCCGATGAGTCTTTTTTAGGGGACAACTTACAGGCTCAAGGTAAGGGTGGGAACCTTTCTACAGTTCCCCCATTTCTAAAAATGTTACTGATGTTAAAGCTTTTTGGTGATTTAAAGTTGTTTCTGGGCAATGGCAAAAAGTTTCACATGACATTGCAATGATTTATATGAACCTTTCATTTAACCAATGATATAAGGTCCACAAACTATGACATTTGCTCTGAATAAAAAATATGGCACTTGTTTTTACTTTGACACTGAACTTTGAGCTCCTGGAGAGCACAAATCATATCCTAGTCACCTTTCTGTCCCCTAAGAGATACAGTACAGGTAATAGCATCTAGACTTAAATAGAATGCATTTCAACAGTATTTCTATAAAATAAAAAACAAACCTGAATTTCTCCAAGACTTCTATTTGGGGGTTTTATAATTCTGTATTATTGCCACCTGATCAAGTGATATATATTTGTATGTTTTATTTTTTAGCAGGAAAACTGGAACTAGTCCCTGACCTGATATTACATTGTGCCATAGGGTAGGAGAACATCTGTGGACTTCCTCAGGTCTGATCTATCTATAGATGCGTTGCTTGCCTGTGAAATGACAGCAAGAAGTGTGATATGGAAAAATTTTGTAGTGAGCCTGAGTATTTTGCAGCTGTTACACGAAAATACTGCAGGTATGTGAAAGACTGAAATGAAAAAAACATCAACTTTTTTCATGGGAAAGTTGAAGTGTGGCATTTGCCTCTTAAAATTCAGTTATTTTTCTAAGTCAGCACACCTTCTTCCCTCTTTCAAAGGGGTAACGATGGCTTCTGTAGGCAGCATCTTAGTTTGCAAACTTAATCTAGTTCTGTGACAGTAGGCAGTGGGGAAATTCCCCAAACTGCCCTTCTTGTACAGTGCTTCCCTCTAGCATTTTCATCTCTGAACATAGCACATCATACCAATTTTACCACACTAGGAAAATGGTTACACAGTACTTGTATAGTACAAAGGGAATGCATGCATTTAAAAGGTTGCGGTGTAGACATTCTGTGCCCTAATACAGAAATAGGAGACAGGGATGTATTCTGGAATTTCAAAATGGGGTAAATAGGTACAAACATAAACCACAAAATAATGAACAATTGGTATTGCTAGAAAATAGATTAGGAAGCTTGAGGTATGAAGTGGGAGAAAAGGTCCAGTTTTGCATAAGCAGGAGATTATATTCAGAAGAAAGCAGCTGCTGGATTGACTTAAAAAGAATGAAAAGCTGAGTGTGAACTATTCCTGACAGTAACTTGCAGTGGGGCCAGTACTTGTATTACCCTTTCCAGAGAGCAAGGAACAGCTTTTAGGGAAAACCTTTAGAATCACGGTAATTTTAGTCACTATAAAAGGATTACATTTAATTTCACTTTTAGGGCTGAATTTACAGAGGCATAAAGTGACCAGAGCTCCTTGATTTCCTCCATCCTTCGGTTAATTTCTTGCAATTCCTTTAATAACAAAGACTTTCAATTTCAGATACATGACTGTTACACATAAAAGGCAACTCTAACTTCAAAGTATGAGAATTGGGTTCTTTTGATTTTTCTTGAGGGGTCAAGAAAGCAGGGCATCTTATATGGAAAATGAAATATTTATTGGAAAATGGTACAGAAAGACCTAAGAAAAACTTCACATGCTTAACAAAATTGCCTTTGTCTTTTCTGGATTGTTGTCATCCAGCCAAATCACTTCTGTTTCCAGTTTCAGCCCTCCAGTCTATTCCTGTCTGCCACTGCGATTGAGCATAACATCTCATTACTTAATATATAATATAAATCACTGCTTTCTGAGGTGGGCCAGTCATTATATCTGTATGCTATATAATTCTGTGGCTGTCTTAATGAGCCTTGTTTATGCCCTCTTTTACCTTCCAGTGCTATTTTCCTTGCACCTGAAATGCTCTTCCAGTTGGCTAGTTATAACCTTCAAAACACAGATGTCACCTTTCAGATAGCTACCCAACAAAGCTATCTTTGATTGTATTTTCTATTGCATTGCATTAGTTGGCTTGTCTATATCCTTAAATTGCCTATCTCGAGAATTGGACTTTGTCACTGTAACAGGATTACTGAAGAGAATTTAATCATGCCATAAAGAACTTGCTGCTGGGCTTTATTTAATTTTAAAGTGACCAAATGCTTAATCCTCCCAACTCCTTACATTTTTATTTTTGGGGGAGTGGCAACCTGTAAATATTACATATATTGGAACTACCTAAAATGAACTTTCTTTGGGGAAAGCTAGGTTTAAAAATTATACACACATTACAGTAGCATAACTCTATGATTTTCTGGTTGGCTCAATTAAACCATCAGCAAGCTTGTGTAGCACCCTGGACTACAGGAATTGTACTGAGAAAATTAATGACATTTAAGATTGTGCCCCCCAAATTAATATCCTATTTGAAGCAACAGACCCTGTAACTCCAAGACAAAGTGGAAACTAAGACCCTGAAAGGACTAACCTATTGGGGAAGTGCTTGACCTTTCCAGATATAAACGTAATAGCTTTTCCACCTTCAAGTTTGCTCCTGACTGGGGGCTGGGGATTTAGCTCAGTGGCAAAGCGCCTGCCTGGCAAGCGCAAGGTCGTGAGTTCGGTTCCCGGTACCAGAAAAAAACCAAAAAAAAAAAAAAAAAAAAGTTTGCTCCTGACTTTGGAGTACGAGGTGTGCCTCATGGGACTAGTTTTTGATGTAAATACACATTTTCGTGTGTCGGGGGGCACAGGACAGCAGATACAGGGTGTCTGAACTCTAGGGGAAGGAGAGGATAAGCAGAGAACAAGCACAATTAACTGCGTTTTTGGAGCGCTGCACCATGAGCTTTGTGTCATTAAACTGAAAAGTTTATTAATAGTTAAGGCTTTAATATATATTGCCAAATTATTTTCTGGAGAACACAGGAAAACCTGCCTTAATACATTAAGCCCTGTTATTTAAAAGACACATAACTATTTGTTAAAAATACTAATTGCATTTCTTAGGTTACTACAGATTGAGCTCTTAAAAACCATTCTTTCAACTATTTTCTCATTGTATTTTTAAAATATGTAAATAACAGTAATTACTATTAGTTATCATTTTAAACCTTGACCAGTATTAATCTCTTTCTTGGTGAGTATTGTATTTATGAAGTGTTTTTCTATCTCCAGAGTCAAAATCTCTCGTTTTCACAGAAATTATACCACTCTTTTTGCTGCTGAGAATTAAAGAGAGGGCCTTGAGAATATGGGCAATACTCTACCACTGAGTCTTGCAACCCCTCTTGCAACATTAGTTTTTCTTTGCCTGTATCAACTATCACGTTGGTAGGACTGGAAAGGCGTACCTAGGAATCTGATATCACATCATTCCATCAACAAAGTTTCACATTGTCTTCTCTATGGTGGTTCTAGAATTCTCAAACCACATCCTTAGGGTTATTTTAGCCTATACAGTACATTTAGTTCTTTTAAATATTTCTAATGTTATTAAAATTTTGTTCAGTGAACAATATATCCTGCAGCATAACTAGCATATAAAATATTTGATAATCCAATGTACAACTCAGTTTTATGCCTTTTGTTTTATGGTTAATCTCATTTAAGATTTACTTCAAAAAGATAAAGAACACTTACCCCTCTTTTACATGAAGAGGTAATTATTATTATTTCTCATTAACTCTTGATTAGCTAGCTGGCTACAGGTACAGCACATGTTAATTCTACAGGCACCTTTCTGAATTCAAGTAAAAGTTTTGGTAGACAAGGATTTCCTACTTACATCATTAACATATATGAATATTGAGTATAAATATTGCTCACCATTCTTGCATTCTTTAAATTATTTTACTTTGAAAATTTAAGGACTATTACTGTCATTAATAACATAGGTTTTTAAGGAGTATTTTGAACTGTGAAAATACAAATCTAGTCAAATTTTGAACACATATAGAGCCAAATATTTCAACAAAACTGCAGTTTAATTTCAGAAAATGTGTTAAAATATATTTATACATCAATTTCTGACATACACTTAATGTGTTAGTATACACAAAATGATGCTTTCTCTTGAAACTGTATTTATGAAATGTACATTTTAATTTAAATATTCAGTATACACTGCACTTAATCTGCATGTTGCATTTATTAAATACATTAAAATCTGCAATGTAACAAAACGTTTTCTGCATACGAAATTCAAAACACCATTTTAAATGAACAAAAGATGGCTCACTTCATTTTTGTTTTTGTACAACTAGTGTATTGCACACTAGCTCAGCTCCACCATACTACCTGTTCGTTTTTTTATTTGACATTGTTCACAGACTAGTACATATTACAATAAGAGTGCTGGATAAAAACATGAGGTACGAAAGTGGTTCAAAGATTATAGGTCATGCAGATCATGCTAGACGCAAAGAAAATTGTGACCAAGAAAAACACTAAATAAAAATACATAAAGAATGTGCATTATATATATAAAAAAAAAAAACAAAACCCAAAACTCCATTACACAGCTTTGCTTCTTTGGTTACAAAGTAGGTTGAACAATTTCACAGCTTTTTATTCCCACCTGGAAAAAAAAACTCATACGAAATGTTGAAAAGCAGAGGAATCGTGGCAATTTCTCTATTAGAAAGTAGAAACAAATGAACAAAGTTTTCTTCATCAAAATAGCCCGATTATTTATTATATCACAATAACTGGTGACTACCTGTACAGTTGCACTATGTTCTTCATACTTACACTATACAAAATTTACATTCAAGCTGGGTCTTTACTACTGAAAATAAATACCAAAGGTAAATTGCCATTAGTGTTAGAAATATGCCAGGATTCTTTTGTTCAATTATTGCCTAAACGTTTTATCTATTAAACGCAATCCTGTCTTTTAATTCCTTTACTGATACTTATAATTATCCAAAAAAATTAAAAAAAGTTCTGTGACATTGTTCATGTACATTATGAAAATAGCAGCCCTGTAATAAATAAAACACAAATAAATGAAAACTTATGTAGGCAAATGTTACTGATACTGAAAGAAAAGTGGCTCTTTAGATGAACTGTTATTTATATGATGAAGAAGGCTCAAGGTAAATCCACGGGTAATAGGAAACATGGGAGAGCCACCCAAATGCTTACAGACCCCACTCATGTGCACCAGGAAAAATGCAGACTTCGCTTGCTTTAGTAAACCCCATCTATTATTCTCCTTGTGTACTGATGACAGAGAACTGGACATCAACAGTGCTGCATGACATTTTAGAGGAAAAGCTCTTGTAGAATGATTGTCTAATACTGAAAAGGCCAAACACACAACCGAAGCATGGCTACTTGCTTTTGTATAAAGTGGAGGAAAAGAATACCAGTGGCACACAAGGATAGATTGCTTTCGGTGTTTTTCCTTAATGAGGCTTAAGAAAGCTTTATGCAGAGGAGACATTCGGCTGCTGTGGAGGTTGCGTTGGCTGCGGAGGCTGTGCTATCACTGCTTGCTGTTGAGAAGTGCTACCAGGATTGGCCTGTTGGGCTGGGAGTTGGGATAATTGATCATTGTTTGAAAGAGATTTTAACAGTGCATTTTCACGTTCAAGTAAAGAGTTTCTTTCAACTAATTCTTTTATCTGTTCCTTTAGAACTTCCACTTCTTCTCTTACTGCATACATCAAATGGCTTTTCACCAGATCCTGTGAAAAACAAAATTAGGAATGTCAAAGTGAATGAAAGGGAAAGGTTGAGATACTTGATTATAGCCCACTTGTTGCCTTATAAACACAAGGTGTGCTTACATTACATTTTTTGCTCTTGTTTTTAATGTTTCTGCTGCAGATGGGTGGGAAAAAAAAATCTAGTTTCTACCTATAGCAGCAAGTTCAGAATTTTCAAAGTTTAAAATGATTTCCCCAAAATATTTCCTCCCTAAATGACCAATTATAAACTTAGAATTAGCTCTAGACATAGTGGATGCCTGTAATCCTAGCTACTTGAGAGAGTAACATGGGAGTCGGGGGAATCAGAAGTTCGAGACCAGCCTGGGCAGTGTAGCAGTCTAATAAAGTTTAAACTTAGAATTAAAAATAATAAAAGCTTAAAAGAACATTCTTAGATGTTATAACAAGAGAACATAGCAATGACATTGTAATATTCCAGTGGAAAGCTATGCGGTAATAAAACTAGTCATAGCTTAATTTTGGAGATAAAATGAACTGTACCTTTTAACTTTAAAGTCTGGCTTATTTTTTCCATAGTCTGAGTCTGAAAGTGCTTATTTATAGCTTACCTATACTTTAAATAACCTTAAATCAACATTTTATATAATATAAACAAAATTTTTTTTGTTGTTTGTTTTTGTTTTTTTTCCCAGTACCGGGAATCAAACTCAAAACCTCACACTTGCCAGGCAGGGGCTGTGTCACTGAGCTAAATCCCCAGCCCTCTAAACAAAATATTTTTAAGGGAACAAAAAAATTGATAGCAATAGCAGAAACCAGACCAGAAACAATCCTAATGATCAGAGCTCAGTGAGACAGCACCTATAATGACCAGAGGATGCTAATGCTCTGCTGACAATATACTACTTTAATCACGCATGGCTCCTCCAATAGCCCTTTGTCAATGGCAATGCATGAAGTGTGAGACATTCAAATGGGATAAGTATTTATTCAAATGATACTTCTGGACTAAAAGTTCTCAACGGTCTAGGCACCTCTGACTGAAACTTATCATCAAAAAATATAATCTGGCTAACTCTGTTTAAGTAATTAGGCATTTGCTAGTTAGAACTGATATAAACAGTGTTTCATACAACCAACAGTCTGTGAAATGAGAGGACTATAAATTTGTACTTACCATTGCTTGTTCAATTTTGTTGTCAATGGCTACACCACCTCCCCCAGATGCACTGGAAAAAATTAGAATATTTAATTAAGTTACTCTAAAAACATTTAATCTGTCTTCCAACTCAAAAATAATGCAGAATTTGTGTTTCACTTAAAAACAAATATGATAATTTGAAATAGCTTATTAAGTCTATTATCACAGTTTCAGTACTCAGAGCTCTAATGTTTAAACAGATGACTTCTAAAAATTTTTGTAGGTTCAACATTTATAATTTGCCTGTGACAGACATATGTATGCTACTTTAAAAGTAACCCTAAGTTTTATTCAGGTGTCCTTCCTTTAGTAGTCTGAAAAAGATACATTTTGAATGAGCAGTACCCTCTCATTTTTTAAAGTTCATTAAACAACTACACATTTGATTTGCCTTTCATGTAGAAATCCTAGTGATTACTTCATTACAACTCAGATGACTTCTCTTTTACATATTTCACATTTTAACATCTGATTTATAGAAATGGCTTCTAAAAACAATTCAAAGGTCTTTTGGCAGGGCTTATTAACAAGGAGATATTCTGGGAGACTGACATGCTTTGATTATAGATTACTTGCTGACAAAAATCACGTAATAAGGCTTTTGGCTTAGACTAATTTTTCCTGAAAATAACTGAAAGTTGTCATTCAGTAAGAATGTCCCAGATTTAAGTATCAAGTTAGTATTTGTATGATATCAGAAAGTTGAGTACATAACTGGTGGTTTATGTATTCTGCCATGTATTGAATAGTAAGAGTAAGTAACCAAGAATCTATGGCCTCTTGTTGAGTTTTTATAGATTGTGAAAAACAGAACTAGGGTGGTTTTTTTTTTTTTTTTTTTTTTTAATTAGTCTCGCAAAGGAAAACCTGCTATTTTACTATTTTAATAGAGGAAGACCTTCAATGTTAGACAAGTCTTAGAAATACCCTGGTCAATGTAGTAGTGCCTTTTAGATTGTAATCCAAGTAGGCCTGCCTACAGTCCTAATTCTGCTATTCACGAACATGACCACCAGCCAATCACCACTTTAACTTCCCTAAATCTTTGTTCCCTCTTCTGTAAAATGAGCAGGTTGGTGTTGACTCTGCAGTTAAAATTTCACTTCTAAATTTTTCTGAGCATTAATCACCTAATTATACTATATTACTTTAGTTTTTCTTGTTGATATTTCTAAGATGAAAACGGATTCTGTATACCTAAAAATGGGAAAGAATACACAAATCATTAACAAATACTTTATATGTTGGGCCTTAATGCTTGTACAGCGCTTGCTTTGGCAGCACATTTACTAAAATTGCTTGTGAAGAGCTGGGCAAAGACTACATTAACTATAAATTATAGGACAACTATAAAAAATGTAAGGCTTTAGTGTAAAGTTTCGTACCAGAATCCATGTTCACCAAAATATCAACTGCACTTTGGCCAAAAAAATGATACACAATTACATTAGCATTTGCTTGAGAATGCTATATTATACTTTCTGTATTTTTATTTCTACCAGGAAAAACTGAATTACTCTTCAATGCAATCTATTCCTTCAATACATATGGATTAAAGAGAATATATTGTTAATATGTTTTATATATTAACCAGCAAGTGGGGAAAAAAACTAAGAAAACAAAAATTAGCAAGTTTCTAATTCCTTCCTCTACCTAAGGAATAATTAAAAGGTGATTCCTTGAATGTTGATTTGAATATATGTACCCTTAAAAGGTACTAATATTTCAAATCTGTTGAGCATTGTACTCTCACAAACTACACTGGTCATACATATAATTACTATCATTACAGTAACCCCTGATCATTTTGAAGCCTCTTATTCAACAATTCAATAATCCAGCAGTGGTCAAAAACTACAGCAGCACGTGCAAGTCACTTGGGAGTCTGGTGAAAACAGATTGCTAGGCTCCACCGCAGAGTTTCTGATTCAGTAGGTATGAAATGGGCCCCAGGAATATGTATTTTTAACAAGTTCCCAGGTGCTGCTGCCTGACCATTAATTGAGAATCATTGGCATACAGAGATGAAAGCCAAAGGAGAAAACATACTCCATCCCCCGCAAAAAAATCCCCTCTAATTTTATTTTTAAAACTGCTTAGCTTGGTATATTGTATTATTGTTTTACATAAGTATTTGCAATCTGTGGAACAGTCGCTCTGTTCCCTCCCTCAGGTTTCCTTGACTTTGCAGGAACTGCTCCCTCTGCTGGAGATGATCACAGTTCCAAGTCTTGTCCCTACATTTCAGCCCCTCTCCCCAGTGTCATTTCTCCTGCCACACCTTCTGATTTCCTAAGGTACAGTCAAATTCGTCCGTCCCTCCTGTGCTCCACCAATATTCATGGTTTTATTTTTTAACAGCACAGTAACACAGAATAGCAAATTCTGGCTCCTCCATATACTTATTGGGTGAATACAGTGGTACTTCAATTGCGGAATAAATTCTATGACCAGACTGCAAAAAGAACTTCATGAACCGATGTACCTCAGTTTAGGGAAATTATTTAACATTTGTAGTCCTCAGTTGTTTCACCTAAAATAAGGTTTATATCCTCTAATTCATAAAACTACTGTGAAGATTAAATGAGTTTCTATAATATTTAGCATAGTTCCCGGCACATTGAACACTCAATACGTGGTAGTGATTATTTTTACCATTTTAATGCTAACACTGTTGATTCAACAAGATCGAACTTCTTGAGGGATGATCCGTGTCTTCACTTTTGTAAAGAAGTGAACAGTGTCTGATACGTAAGAGCTAACAAGCATACCATTTAAATGTGATACTAATAATTAAATGTGAAACAATGGTTAATACTAGGAAGCAATTACATTTTTAAAAATTCAGATTCGTCAGCAGTTTTGAAAGTACAAGTTCTAGATCAGAAGCACCAGTGTCACTTGGAATTTGCTAGAGACAGAAATATCTGGACACTCCCTAGATCCATGGACACTCCTGGGATGGCAACAGGTGGTGCCTTTTAATAACCTTTCCAGATGATTTGGACAGAAACTAAGGTTTGAGAATCACTGCTTTACATAGTCAGGTTTATAGTATTTGGTATCCTTAAGTAAGTAAGAGTGTAGTTTTGATTTCAAGATCTTACAAAAGGCTTTAAAATTACTATTTCAATGAGGGCAGAAAGGTGTTTTCTATGGTGTTCAAAGTAATTAGTGATTTGGCTCTGTTTCAAAATAAGATCACTGAAACAGAATAAATGATTTTCCTTCAATTTTCCTTCTTTCACCTAATGTTACCTTGTTTTCTTTTTAATTACTGCATTTATCACATCAAGTTTTAATGGATAACTTTCTCAACTTAAGCTTTTTTAGTCTTCCCAAAGTGGAAGACTAAAGATACACACTTATACATAATTAGGTACTCCAAAAAGGTAGTGCTAAGAATAAACCAGCCCGGCACTGTGGCACACACACGTAATCCCAACTACTCAGAGGGCTGACACAGGAGGATCTTAAGTTCAAGGCCAGCCTGGAATACCTGTCAAGACCCTGTCAAAGAGGGGTTGGGGAAGGATGGGATGTAGCTCAGTGGTACAGTGGCTGCTAGCACTGTGTTCAATACTCAGAACCATAGAATAACAAACAAAAATCCAAAAACTATACACTTTAGATTAAGGGGTATATATGTATATATATATATATATATATAGCCTCAAGCGGAAATAAGTCTATTTTAAATCCAGTGCTAAAATTACTGGCATAGAAGTACGGGGAAAATGATGAGCTTAAATTCTCTTCTTTAAAATTACTATTATGGTAAACTACAAGTGCTAAGAAAGTCGAAGGTTAATTTTTAAAGAGAAACTTTCTGTTTATTATGGACTATTAGAATAAAATTAAACCTTGATTAGCATTTTCAGATAAATAGAGAATTGTAGCTATGGAAGGAACAGAAATATAGAGCTATGGAAAGGAAGACAGTAAAAATATTATTTTCTATATGATACATTTTTATTTTCTGGCACTGCCCCCAAAATAACCAAGTGAGCTTGAATTTAGTATTTAAAATAAACCAATCACAATCATACACATAGGAAAAGCAAAACTCATAGTACCAACGCAGTAGTAAGACAGGTTGGCTTTTCATGATGTTCTTATGCAAACTTTTTTATTTGTAGTGATATGGGCAGCTACCTCACAGCTAGCAGTCCAAATGTCTTTTCTTTTTCCCAATGGACATTTTTTAACTACTCTGTCTTCTGTCCTCCCCTCCATATAAATGCTAATTAACAAAGTACAGGAAAATATAAATGAATGACTGTCCCCTTTATGGCAGGTATACACTATGTTCCTGAGACTTTACAACAGGATTGGGAAACAGTTTTATTTTACAAAGGAGCAAACTGAGGCCAATGCTGAGAACAAGATTCTAACCCAGACCTAATGTGAAACACCCACCTTTTCTTCCATAACAGTATGACTGTGAAAACAAAAAGTAACTACAATATCTACTGTGACCTAAAATAAATCCTGAGTTGTAAAAATGAAGAGTGCTTTAAGCACTACATGTTAGTTATGAAACCATAAATATGGATCCAAAGATTAAACTATGTTCATAACATGCCACGTACCTAATCTAGTGCATTCCCAGAAGTCTAACTCTGAGAATAAGGGAGTCAACCTCTTAGAAAAGGTACTTGTTTGGTGATCTTTGTGCAGTCAGCATAATTTGGCTATTTGCAAAGAACTAAGACATTCTTCTAGTATGTTAGAAAGCTAAAGATATCGTAAGCATGTATGTATCTATAAGTAGGAAACTGTAAAAAAAACACATTACTTTATTCAAAGACCCTTCTAATGCTTCCAGTTACTCATCTACAATCTTCATTCACCCTACTTCCCAAAATTAGAGATGTAATATTTTGCCTGTTCTCTAAGAAACACTTTTTTTTTTTTTTTTTTTTTTTTAAAGGAACAACGTCTTGCTGCAGTTCAAGACAGCCTTGAACTCATGGTAATACTGCCTCAGCCTTTCAAGTGCCTGGATTATAGGTGTGCACCACCATG